CAGCAGTTAGGAGGAGCCAAGGAGTAGCAATAGAAAGGCTGCAGAAAGAGTCAGGAGCCCAGAGGAGGGGGCAAAGGAGGTGAGGGGGTGGGGGCAGAAAGTGGAGACGAAAGCAGACGACAGAACATTGATAGAGAAAAGGAAAGGAGGTGAAAGGAGACATATTTAGAGAATTTTTTTTCCGTCGCTGCCCAGATTCGAACCTGGGACCTTTGGATGAGAGGCCAACGCCTTAACCTCAAGGCCACGAGAACCCCCTCACCATAAGTGTCTTGTCTGGTGCAGACATTGGCTACTATAGTTCTCCATCGATTCTTACATTAGAGGCCCCCTTGAGAGGGTGGTTCCTTGTGTTCGTTACCCTACAGGTGTTCAGGCTATATGTGAAGCATCGTGGTGAAATCAGGCGCTCGTCAATATAGTGGAATTGAAGAAAACGACATTAAAATGTGTCTTCCCGTTTGGTAATTTTTTATCAATTCTTGTCTCAAAACCTGTTTCGTCCCTTTAAAAAGTCATTGCTGTGTGGATTTTAACTGAAAATCGTTGATTAAAGGCACACAAAAATGTACATTTTCAGTTTCCGAAGACTCTCAAGCTTTGGAAGTCACCAAACTTTGGCGGCCTTTAGGTACAGGTCAGAAGGGCAACAACTGGCGACTCACCTACATCCTACACCACCAACATCACCGATGACTTGGAAGGGTACTCTAAGGTGTTTTTTTGTTTTTGTAAAGTGTTTTACGGCGCTCGCAACTGCATAAGGTCACACGGGCCCTCCGAGATTTTTCGCCTTTGTCCGAGAAAGCTAGGTGCAGATCTTTCCTACCAGAAGATCAGGGGTGTGGCAGAAAGACAGCAGTAAGGAGGAGCCAAGGAGTAGCAATAGAAAGACTGCAGAAAGAGTCAGGAGCCCAGAGGAGGGGGCAAAGTAGGTGAGGGGGTGGGGGCAGAAAGTGGAAATGAAAGCAGACAACAGAACATTGCTAGAGAGCAGGAAAGGAGGAGAAAGG